TTCTGAAGTCTGTTCGAAGCTGTTAATCTCATTCTGGAACTGAGGTGTGGGGAGAAGCCCTTTTCTCGATCAAGTTGACAGTAAGTCTGCTGCCTTGAGATCTTAGGAGACAAAGCACAGGTAAGCACTACATACTGTTGAGAACATCAGAGAAGTAACTCTGTGAAACAGCACTGTGGTTTGTGTTTATTCTCCCTTGGTGATATCCACATTAAAGCACTTCATTTACAAGTGATGACAAAGTTGTTCTCTGCTGTAAACTGAGCCTGAAGGCAGGAGGCCAGTATGTGATGGAAAAGATGGAGTTTCTCAGAGAGACACATTGCCTTTGCTTTCTCACAGAACAGTCGTGAGGAGGAAATTCTTTGGCTTGACATTTAAGTACCAGAGACAGAATCAGTGATGCTGGGAAGAATTCAGGGGTGAGAGGGAGGTAAATTGGCTTGGATGAATCAATAACAAACTTGAATCTTTGATCAAAACATGCTTGCCTCCTTCCCCTCCCTGCTGCTGTCTGTGCCAGATTTGGGGAGTTAAAAAATCTTTTTTAGTAAGTGACTTTGCATCTCTGCACTATCTCCACATATGGGGCTATATTGTGCCAACCCCTAGGATGATGTGACATAACGAGTGAAGAGACAAAAGATATCTGAACGTCATGCAAGAGGCCATGTGCAATTTCTCTCTTTCTTTGTGGAGTGAGCCATACTGCAGACAGGCTTTCCAGCAGGGGAATGGTAGAGCTCGGGTTTTGGCTGAATCCTGTTTTCTTTTGTGCTTGCTGCATATTAGGTTAGAAAAAAGCTGGGCTGCTGAGACTTGAGTTTCAGTGCTTTCCTTCATCCCATTGCTGCTGTTTCAATACTGGCCTTCCTTGCTTAGCTTACTCTGTGTCTCCCACCATGGTTGGTTAGAGCCCAATGCTGCTTCCCTGCCCTCTGCCAAGCCTGATGCTCCATGGCATGACTTCTGGTCCTGCCACTTCCAGGTGGAGATGGAGATACCAGCAATGTGTTGGCTCTTTCCCATACAGTCCCTGCCAGGGAGACAAAGGCAGCACTTAGAGCAAACATTATCTTTTGCAATACATAAAGCTGTGATAAGTTGGGATGGTACTCATGAGAAAAACAGTAATGTGCATTGGAAGCAAAAAGGGCTGTCACCTCAGACCTCTGGCCGGCAGAGTGTCTGCTTCCTGGCATGAGATCACTGCTGAATTTTGAAGACATGTTTTTCCACACAGATTTGAGAGCTGCTAATGCTACAATTTTGCATCATCAGTGTGGCGGAAATTAATTTGTGATGTTGTAATGGAATTAAAACAGAGAAGAAAGTGGGTGCAACCTAGCCCAGTGTTCCAGTGGAAGCTCCCCTGGGCTTACACCTTTCTCTGAGACAAAGTTTGAAAAATATTTCACCGAGGTACTTTAATGCAGAGGTGCTGGCTACGAAATGGACCACTCCAACATGTAATATGTTGTCATGATTTTGGTCACTCTGTACGCTGCAGTCTTTGAAGATTACTGTCTTGTGTTAAAGGTGACAGTACTGGTTTCTGGTCCATTCCAGCATTGTGTGCTGCTCTGAGCCAGGATTGCAGCCTTGCAATGGTGTAGCTGTAGTCAGTCATGCCTTGGGGCAGGGGGATGGATTATATACCCCTTGAAGTCTCCCTTAGAGACTTGTTTTCTGTGATTGCAATGCACACATACCTTGGAGGAATAACTAACCTGCAGTGCCATGGCACTCACTCCACCAACCCTTCCCTTAGCGCCTCCTTTGTAAATGCAAAGCATTCATCCACCTCGACTTCTCCATAAGTGGCTGCAAAACCACTTCTCTGGGAATAAGCGTTGCCTGTTCCCCTGGCAGCAGCATAGCTGCATCCCCTTCCCCATGGTGAGGCACCCCACAGCCAGAAGGAAGATGCGCCAGAAGCAGCGTCAGCTTTTTTCTGCCACTGAGCTGAGTTGCTCCAGTCCCTCTTCCCCATTTGCTGCCTACGAGGTAGCAATTATGCTCCCATCGATCCCTCCACTCCAGGAATCACCCTGTGTGCACTGGCACACTGTCACAATCAATAGCCCAGCCCTTGTGCAGAGACGGCAAGGGGGCCAAAGAGGCAATTTGCTCACTGGACAGGTTACGATGAAATAATATTGTGTCAGAAGGTGAAGTGGCAGAGCGGCTGGCACTAAATATTTCCCTCTGTGGCCACCGGGAAAGCTAGGGCTCCACAAGATTTAAAGTCAGGCTCAATAGCTGCTGCTTAGATCCTGCTGGAGATAAAGTGTAACTGAAAGAAAGTGGGGAAACGATTGTTTAGGAAACAAAATTGATGTGGGCCCTTAAACCCATCACTTCAAAATTGTTCTGACTGGGAAGGAAAGGAGGAGATAAAATATCTTTCATTTTTGACCTCTAGCTGATGGGTATTAAACACATACAGGTTTCATTGTGGACAAAACTCAGGACTTCCAACAGCCGAGCTCAATCAATCAGCTTATTAGTAAAAGATAAATATTGCATTCAAAAAAAGGAGATACTTGCCTTGAGAGTCACTGCTGTCATCCTAGCTTTGAGACATATTACAAATTAGGCAAGCAAAGGTATCACTTTCAGCCAATTTTTAACAGGCAAAACAAGGGGAGTTTCAAGACTTTCTGAAATATTTTTATTTTGTTTTGAGTAGTCTCTTGATATTGTATCTCAAATGAAATGAGTAAATAGCTTTATGCTCATTACTCCCTGATTCAAAGCTCATGTTTGACATGTCATAGTCATCTCTCCCCAGTAAAGTATATCACGGTCTTCAGCTTTGCTGAGCATAAGCAGAGGACACTGTGGGTGCTTCTTAGCTCAAGGGCCTTGGTGCCTGTACTACCCATTTGCACCCACTGCCCTTCTCCTAACAGAGATTAAGTACTCAGAAATACATACAATTACTTAGAAATGCAATACTGATCTCTACCATGGAATCTATGTTAATATATTTATATTGAATTAAAACAGAGGTTAGTGTAAGCATGGAAGCCAGTGATAACAAGGTATTTAGTCAAAGGTGGGTTCACAGGAAAAGAAAGCTTAGTGTTTAGACCTGGGAAACTGCCTGAAGGCTGCTGCTGCTCCCACACACACTTTGCCACCTCAGGCACATCATTTATGTCAGATTTTTTCAGAAGTGCCCAGTTATTTGGAGTGCCTCATTAGTGCTAACCCAAGTGTGGAGCACCTGCAGATGCCCTTCCATCAGCAGGACCTAGCAAGGCTCTGCACATCTGCTCATCAAGCCAGCCAGCAGTTAGGCATCTTGCAGTTATAATGGAGGCTTTCTGCTTTCAGTGTCTCTCGGTTTCCACCTTTGTCAAATGGAGGCAATGCTGCAGGACATAAACAGCTTAGTGGGAAGCCCACAGGCCAGAATAGCCTCTACACACTACATGGCAGGAGGGAAGCCTTGGGCAACTTGGCACTCCTAAGAAAACCTTCCATGCCATCATAGGCTGCTCACCCCAGCTGCATGGCTAAGTCCTTGTGATTTCTCCAGTGCAATGGTCTCAGGCCAGCACAACACAGGGATGGATCCCAGCCCTGCCACTGATAAGGTCCCTGTGTGTTGAAAAGCAGTCTGTGGCTGGTCTAAATGTAGGCTGCCCACAGGGCCCCTAGATGACTTGTGCTGGTTCTGCAGCTTCCAGATTAATAGTTCCTCACAGTCATCTTGTGAAAGTGCAACATAGAGCTGTTTGCCCTTTTGTGAATAAATGGGGGCAGCAATGTTCGAGCTGGGTCTGGCAAGGTAGGGAGTAATTCCCTGGCAAGCAGAGAGAGTCTGGCTTCACCCAGCTCTGCAGAGGGAGAGGGTGAAACATGACCCACCCTCTCCGTGCTTTTCAGCTCCAGATGAATGGTGCTTATTTGTCACCACGGAAAGGAAAACTCAGCCATGTGCAAGCACAACATCTGCTCAGTGGGGACTGCTGCTGCCAGCATGCAGCACAACACCGTTTGCTGGACCCCATGGCACTCACCCTGGGGACCTCGCAGAAGCGCTGGCTGCAGTGCAAGAAGGGTCAGGGGTGCATGTGCCTCCTGCCAGTAGGCTCAGAACTGCTGCATCCGAGCCTAAAGTGAAGATTACGAGGCTGCGTAGGGATGTGAGCAGGCACTGGAAAGCTGAAGCCAGTGGGCTCTGGCAGGGCACGCCTCCTGCCTGTCCCTTTAGGTTAGGGAGTTAGAAGGAGTTGGACAGAGTGGGCTGGTAGCTGACAGGTGTTTGGCTGCTTTTCCAAGGGTTTGCTACAAGAATTTGGATGATGCCTCCCTCTTTCTGTGGGGTAGCTCCTACCTGGAAATGCATTTAAGAAGCATTTTAAGACTTCTTTATTTTTGTCTTTCTGTGCAGTGCAAATGGATCCCTAAATGCCAACACTTTTTTGGTACTGATTTATCTCTGGGTGTGACACTAATGTTTCACCCTCTCCAAAATACTGAGGTTAGGTTAAGCCATAGCATAGCCCTGCCTGGAGGCAAAGGAATGGGTTCCTGTGCGAGGCAGGAAAGCTCTGCCCCAACTATGGAGCAGCATCAGCCCCCAAGATACAGGAATTCAGTGGGGTGCAGGTCTCCTGTGGTTGAACTGAAGGTCCCATGCCTCTTATCTGTATTTGTGTAGTGATGAGGGCTTTCCACTAGAGAGAGACATGAGTACGCACAGAAAACCTGTTTTCTATTTGTATCACACAGTTCACCTGGCCAACATGGTGCTAAAGGGAATGGCTGGAGCTGATCATGAAATGAGCTTTTTCCCCCTGATGAAATTTTTACTTATCTATTCTGACTGACATTTGTCTTCAAGATGGGGTTTGGCAAAGAAAATCCTCATTTTTTTTTCATTCTTGCTTTGAAAAAGCCCATTTTTATTCTTTTTAGTTCTTTCAGTAGAGGCCAAAATCTGCTGAAACATTGGAGAGTCTTGCAAAAAAACATAATCAAGAAACTTGACAAAAATATTTTTATTAGAAATAACATTTTTTTAGAAAATGTTCAGCTGCTTGCTGTTTATCTGACAAGAAAGTGGGTATTACCCAGGCAAAAACTGGTAACTCTCATGTACCTTTTTGTTTCTATAGACAAAACTCAATTCAGTGACCTCTGAAATACGAACATCTTGAACATATGAAGGACCATAAAAATATTGAACACAATATATTTAAGAGCAGATGCAAGGAGTAACCTTCTTAGCTGAAAATCCCAGAGAGATAGAAATGTGGCCAAGGACAGTGGTGTTAATATTTCTGTATTTATGTGTCATTCTGTAATCTTTGCAGGCTGATCTTCTCAGCTGTTTTTCACCAGAAGACCTGCTCAGCCAGCAGAACCAAACCTTCTTAGTGTGGTGTTGGAACAGTGCCCATTTGGAGATAAGGGAACTGTTGAGTGAGATGCCTTCAGCATGTAATGTATTGTTATGTGTATACAGTGTAGATTTTCCTTTGTGGTTACTTGGAGCTCTGAGTGGGGAGAGTATGTAGCACCTAATGGTGCTTTGCCTGGGATCTGTGCTGAGTGTACAACTCAGGGTGGCAGGGCTGTGAGTCACACAATTTCTTCTATTTTTGGATCCTGTTTTTGAATGGTTTCCCCTGTGGTATATGGGTGGTTGAAGGAAACACACACATGCAGGCTTCACATACTGCAAATAGAAAGTCTGCGTTTAAAGGCCTCCAATTGCTTTCTTGCAGATTCTGCCAAGCTTCAACCTGCTAGTCTTGATAAACACCCTCTCCTAGGGTGTTGCTCACTGGGAACATATGGTCCCGTGGGAAACAGATGGGCCCAGAGCTGGGAACTTCCAGGAGCTTTTGGTGGGAGACGGGATCCCATCCTTTACCTCAAAGGCCCATCCTAAAGGCACAGTGAGAGCATTCTTCTCTGGTGTTTTTCTAATCTCATGAGAAGTTCCCCTTCATTGCCATCAGGTATGAGTGGGTACTTGAAGCAGGGCGTTTCAATGTCCAGGCAGTGTCCTCCTTTCTGCAGGACATAGAAGAAATCTGAGGAATAAAGAGGGAAATAGGTAAAACACAAAGACTATGAAATAACAGCCTTTTTCTTTGGTACCTCCCAAATGGCTTCTTGCCCCCAGATATCTCCTGCACCACCCAGCATAAGACCATCACAGATCTCCATCATGACTGGAGACTGGGGTGTAAATCCATGGCTTTAACAGTCTCTTGTGAGTTAACATGGATCTGAACAAGTCTCCTTTCAATATTCACTCTTCAGTACAGGCCCAGCTTTGCTCTATCTTATCATCTTGGGAAACAGATGATGCAGGATTTGACTGATCCCTTCACCATCAGCAGCCATTCCTGGAAATGAATCACTGCCTCTGAGATTGTTTCCCTGATGCTTTTCATAGAACATCTGATATCTCAAAGAGATGTCTTTTCCTTTTCTGTTTATCTAACCTAGAGCTATTAGGATTGTAGTAGCTGCTGGGTTCATAGCCCCAGGGGCAGAAAGCTTCATTGCATCCTGCTCAAGGCACCCCTCTCCTAGTTTCCTGTAGCCTTTCTGGATGCACATGGCCTAAACCCAAGGAGGTTGTTAAGCTCCAAGTTCCTATTTGTTCTTAATTTACCCTTTGAAAACTGATCCTCAGCTAGTCTGGTTTTCTCAAAACTTGCAACCCTTTATTATACCAAGTTTTTGCTCCAGTTTGAAGCCCAGTCTTTCCGTGGGGAGATAATTCCACACATAGGAGACTAACTGTAGAGAGGTAATATAGGTGGGAATTTCTACCTCAGTCATGTTTTATTGTGTATCACTTCCTCCCTCTGTAACACCCCTCTGGGCCTCCTAGCAAACCCCTTTCTCCACTTGTTTACGGACTTTCATTCTGTTTCAGAAATCTGATAAATACAGAAGCCTTTAGACAGAAAATGTAGACTAAAAGCTGCTCTAAACCAATGTTTCTTCCCTCTTCTTTGTAAGCCTGGTGCACATTAAATGAAACTTATATGCTTCTTGAAACTGCCTGTGTTATTATTGGAACTGATGCACATTCACTCCATCCAATCTATTTTTATTTGAACCACTTACTCTGTATGAAACCAACCATAATAACTACAGCCAATATAGATATATTTGTTTTTATTTAAGCTCCTAAGTGTGCTAAAAGCAAAGAAATGGTTTTCCCCCCGAAAACCAATATATATGTATAATAGGCAGAAAATGTATGTATCAGTCAAAGCAGGAGTGACCTGTGGCGTGGGGGCCGCCCCTGACATCCATGGGGAGGCAGGAGGCCGGGGAGGCTGGAGGGAGCAGGGAGCGGGTCTGCGGGGTCTGGCAGCTCCCCCAGGGCCGCCCGGCTCGGCGGGAGGGGAAAGGGCAGCGTGTGCCGCTGCTGCGGGCCCGGGGCGAGAGCGGCGGCCAAGCCCGGGCCCCGCGGGGCGCTGGGTGAGCCCCGGGGCAGGACGGGGGTTCGCCCTCAGGGGAGGCGGCGGCCCTGAGGTACCCGGGAGCCCTGTGGCGCCTCCGTCAAGGCACGTATTAAAAATGGCGGTAAGTGCCGCGCTCAGGGGACAAGGAGGGCAGAGCAGGATGGGACCAAAGAAGAGCCAAAGGCCACGCTGGAGCAGGCGGGCAGCGCGGGGCAGCAGCACAGGTGGGTCGGGCGGGACTGCTGCTGCAGCTGGAGGAGGCAAAGGCACTGATCACGTTTTCCGTCATTGCTCTTGGGCTCGGGGGCAGTCCCTGTCGGGGGGACAGCTTGTAATGTGTGGGCAGGGGATTGGGAAGCAGAAAGTAGGGAAGAGAGGTTTGACAAAGGCAAGGACTGTTTTCCCTGAGTGCCCATTTATTTGTTTCAGTACCAGAATCGATAATTAGAACTTTGTTCATTGACAGTAAATTAAATTGGTTGAAAATCCCCCCAAATCAGTAATCTCCCCCCAAATCACTTTTTGCCCATGACACCAAAATACCTCTATGAGTGGATAGAAATTAACCACTTTGGGGATGGGTTTTTACCACCAAACATAGGAAAGTTAACATGGCAGTTAACAGGCGTCTTCCTTCTGCTCTCATGGGATCTGCTCTTCTGCTTTTGTTCGTCAGGCAGCTTGTCACTTTTCATCATCAAGACATTAACACATAGGAGAAGGGGAACTCCAAGAATTATCAAAATGGCTTATGAAGCCACTGGAGGGACTACTCGAGGTTAAATCCAACGTGATTTGTGTCTATCCTGGTTGCTTTTGAAATGCAAGGTCACATCACCTATTCTGACCACACACCTCATCAATTACTACTTGAGCAAAGTACAAGCAACTGGTCTTTGTGTTCTTCCTCCACAACCATACAATATGTCAAAGCTAGGAAATACTATGATCTGATGAGTAACCATGGCTGGATTTTCTTTGTTCTACAGCTCCTACTAGAGCTCACAGACCATCACCTGCGTTTTCCTATACTTACAGGTCTTTTCTGTTAGAGTAGTCCCCTCTTCTTGTAACAGTTTTGTTAAGCCTACTCTTCCACAAAGATTCAAACCCTCCAGTTTAGTTACCCTGTTTCCGTGCTCCTAGGCAGTCTGTGCTCATTATCAGGCCCCCATTAAACATATTGAATTGTGAATGCCTTGTTTCCAATTGTATGGGCTTTGTTGGGCTTTCAAATAGCTGTTGTAGCAAGAAAGCTTTTGGGGCATTTCAGTTGGCTTTGATGTGACTATATCTCGCATACCACATGTTTCTGTTTTATTGTGTGATTTCTGTATTACCTAGAACTGCTTTCCTTACATCCGGTGTCCTAGTCCAGGCAGGTGTGTACAGATGGTTCACAGTAGTTAATCTGTAGCATCAAGTGATGCATCAACAGTTTTCATTCAATGCCGTTTCTAATTTTTATATGTACCAATCTTTCAGAGACAGATGTGCATATTCAGCTGCTGGAAGAAAGCAAGCAAGTTCAGTGTTTCTGGGTGAGCCTGCAAATAGCATTCATGAGCTATGTTCCTGTAAGCACTAAATTTACACTTTGCCTGCTTCACCCAAGCTTTAGAAAACAATATGCAGGGACTGTCTCTCCCAACAGTTTGGGGTGGCCTGTGCCACATTATGGCTTACAGAATCTTGTTTGGTAGCTTTAAAAAGTAAAAGAGACTCGCATACTGGACAGGTAGGTGCATAATTAGTGTTCAGCCTAATAAATAATATAATAAAATATCAGAGTATCAACATTATTATAGCTTTGTTTGAGATAAAATCTTTTGTTTAGAGAGAAGGTTTATTTAGATAGAAATATCTGTGCTGTCCTTGTACTTAATCTTTGACCCTTTGTATAATTGTTAAGTAGTACAAGTGCAAGTATACTTCCTTGTAGTGTGGGCTGTTTTATTCTCTATCTTTAACCACCTTCTTTTGTGTAGTTTGAGGAAAAATTGTTTTCTGCTAGGACTGATAGTATCATATGTGGGTGCTTGGAGCATGGAATATGCCACCAGCCTTGATAGGTATTTGGGTTTCTAACTTACCATCATGGTGCTGAAGAAACCAGTGACACCGTTCTCTTTCCTTTCCCCAAAAAGCCCAATTTCTTGTCTGTCACCCACCTTGGGCAAGTCTTGGCCCAGCTGTTATTGTCAGAATGAATGACTGCTTCGGGAGTCAGCTGGTCGAGTGGTGTCTCTTCCTGTTCCCAGTGTGTCAAAGCCCTCATAAAGTGTAATGCACTGTGGTAATCTCCTTGTCCTTATTAGCAAAGATCAAGGGTTGAATAGACCTTGCTGCTAATTCTGGAGGGTTTTCCTCGCCATGAAGAAAGTTTAGATGGTCTCTGCCATACTGCTGTTGGTCTACAGAGAAGCAGAGATCATCCTACTGCCCATCTTTGGGCCTGGAATCCCAAATGCCTCCCCTGCCCCTGCTGTTTGCTGCCAGCCTGTGTGGGAGTCTTTAAGGGCAGATCTCTGTGGTCTGGGTGTAGAGCACAGAGCCACCAGAAGCACTGCTGGCCTGTCCTACTTGGTCTGGGGCAAAGGAGGACTCTGGAGAGTGTGGCTCTAGTTCAGCAACAGGGCACTGCAGCCCAGCTCACGAGCCCGTCCAGCCAGCTGGGAATATGACCCTGTGCTCAGGGCCAGTGCAGACACAGAATTTTCTGTCTGTGCAAGGTGCTGTGGTCTAGGGATGCCTTAGTATCTCAGCTCTACAATGAAGTAGATATTAAAGTAAATGGATACACAAGATGGATAGTATGACAATAACAACAGCCAAGAGAGGATGTTTAGAGGCTAAATTCATGTATGGATAACATGCTGTAAGGACCTAAAGATGGAAGAGCATTCTTACTGTTAATTGATAGTGCAGGAAAATCTCAGAGGTCTCATTCTGGGAACTGAATGCCACTGTGCTAAAATCTCTGTATGCATATAAATAGTCCTGGCCCCAAAAACCTTTCAAAAGAACAATATCACAGTTCCCAGCATGTGGCTATTAGCCAGAAAATGGGAAAGAGGACAAGGTAAAAGTGAGATGATAAAATCTGGCATAATAATCTGCAGTCGTGACACACCCACTCCCTTGCCATTGCCACGTGTTAAAATCCTGCAGTGCTTCATAATATTACTGAGTAACTAGCTCCCTCTTACAGACCAGATATTCTTCTTTCCCTCTGCCTTTCCTGAGAGTAAAGAGTTATATCCAGCATGCCACTGGACCTGTGCTGAACTCCATGAAAGATCTGGAGGATCTCAGACCATTAGAGGAACTCAGACCATTAGTGTCGGTACACAGAGCTGATTGATCCAGGAGCATCTATTCAGGCAGGCTTCAGACCCCAGTATCTCCCAGTTAATCCATTTAGCATTGTGTTTGCATGTTTGCTGAGGTATTCAAAGGGGCTTTATGAAAAGGAAGATTTCCCCATAATGAATGGAAACAAACAAGATCAAAAGGCAGAGATAAGCAAACAGACAGGATTTCAATCCTAACCTGCGTTTAAACTGAGTGGCTGTCAATATTAATAACATAAAAGCAGCAGTGAAGTGTGGCTGACACATGCCAGGTAGAGAATGCTTAGAGACATCTGAAAATCCCATCACAAATTGCAAAGGCAAATGTAATCAGCATGTCTGGAATTGTCTTAATTCATTGGGTTTATATTGTCTTGAGAAGCTGGCAGGGATCCTCTGCACATAGCTTGTGCAGGCACAACTTTGTCCATTTCCAGTCCTTTTACCGGTTTTTGTTAGTCCATAAATGAAGGTAGGGGGTGATGCTAACACAGGATGTTCCTGCCGATGGCTATAAGTATGAGGCATTTTCTCAGTGTATTCAGAATTCAGGACTTGTTGAAATCACAGACCCTACTTGTCAGTCCTGTGTGCTGGAAGAATTCAGTCTTGCTCTGACTAAACGTGCAGGTCAGAGGACAGAGGCATTATCAGAGCAGTGTGGAGGCCTGTAGCTGGCCTGGCTGGTGCTGATTTAGGCTGGGAGAGCAGAGCAGGGGAGACACAGCAGAGAGGCAAGTAATGCTGTTAGTCAAAACCAAGGGTGGTTGAAGTGATTGTGGATTTGCAGTGCCTTTGTAGGACTATACCCAAATGTAGATACAGTACAGTGAGGAGTGGAAAACCAACAGGTAGTGAGACAGATCTGAGAAATCAGTTACAAAGGAAATGCAGGAGCCAAAACTGCAGTTTAATGTATCCACAAGTGCAAATTTAGCAGGCAGTGGCTGATGACAATGTAGGGATTTAGGGGCTCCACAGTAAATTTCCAAAGCCATTTGCTCAGCAGATTAGTCTGTGACCCAGAAAATCAATAGCCAAAAAGTGTGTTTTATGCTGAAGCTGGCAAACAGGTGCAAAATCACAGTAAATAGATGCAGAATGACTACACTCTCATGTCTGTATAAATACATCTGGTGGAATTGTGGGAGGGCTACAGTGCACTCAGATACATTTTTCTGATGGGACTTTGGCAACGGAAAGGGAATATTTGGCAGGATTTGAAGTAGTGGTGGTAGGAGTACCTTGTGAGCTCAGGGTGCAGAGCAGGCTGTTTTCAGTGTCTATTAGGGCATTGGCCCTATACAGGGAGGGTAAGCACCACAAGTGTCAGCTGTAGGGAGACATAATTTGATTTAATGGACTCATCCAGGCAACTAAAGGGCCTATATGATTCCTAAAATACAAACACTACAGGGAAATCTATTAACAGTGACTCAAATAAAAGCCTAGCTGGAAGTGAATCACAGACCCAGCTGTCACTGAGCAGTGAATCCTGGCTGCTAAGCCATGAGCATAGTGCACAGCACACAAGTGAATGGGCATTGCTAACCCAGAGACTCCTGACTGGTTCTGAAGAACATCTGCTATTTCAGGTCAGGTTTATGTGTCAGTGTTGGCACTGCTGACACCATTTCCAGAGCTGGTAAAGAAAAGAGGTGGCAGCACTGCAACACCAAGCCAGGTAGAGAAGGAAGATGAGTGAATAGCACAGGTTGAAGGTGCAGGGAGAAGAGAAGACAGCTGTGACAGTAGCTGAAGTAGAATAAAAGAGCTGAGGAGGTCAAACAAACATATAAAGAGCATTAATTGATTTCTAAATGAATCTCAGCTGCAGAAATGCTGTTCTTGAACAAGGTGCTGCTTCTGTAGTCTGGATCCACAGTCAAGGAGGACTGGTGAGAGTAGTGGGCAAAAACAGGTTTGCTATGAAACACCCATGTGGAGCTGAAGACAAGCTCTGGGTGAGTAAGGCCAGATAGAGTGAGGCTGGATTAAGAAAAAAAGAAAATGGGATGCTAGCAAGAGACTACAGACCTTCTTTCCAAATGGTTTCTAAGTTTGAATTGTCTATGGCCATACTGGCATTGAAATATCATCTGAACTTCTGCTCTTTCTTCCCTGGGGGAATGGTCAGAGCTGGAATAACTCAGCAGCCCTGTGCTGGTGGATTTGTTTTTATTTCGAACAATAATGATATTATTTCCCTCCTCCTACTGCCCTTTATTCTCAAGTGTTTAGAATTGGTATTTCTGCTATAACTAGGTCAGGGAACCTAAGTAGGTCAGGGTGACTCTCTAAACGTGGCAGATCTAGAAGCAAAGCTGGGGAGGGAAGACCTGTCTGTGTGTGTAAACAAAAGGTGGCAATCTGGGCCTAGGGGAAGGGATGATCTCAAAGTGAAGTGGTGAGAGCCTGAGAAATAACCTTGTGGGAACTGAGGAAGGAAAATGAGGTGTGGGGCAAGGAACAGGGACTGAGGGAGCAAGAAGGTTTGGGAATGAAGTACGAGCTGATGGGAGGAGTAGAGAAGAGAATGGGATTACAGCTGTAGATGTGAGGAGAGCAGAGAAAGGGATAAAGGGTTAGAGAGGGGCTAAAGCTGAGGAGGGGGAGAGAAAGGGATGTGTAGGTGGGAGCAGCTGAGAAGGACTGGGAAGGGGCTTGCATGGAGGACAGAAGGTGGCAAAAGGTGGTGAAAAGGCTGAGATGGTGAAGTGTATCTGAAAGGGAAAGAGTGTGAAGGGGACAGCAGGGATGTTTTTAACTACAGAGTGATCAGGGAGAGAGAAACATGGTATTCATATAGCGTGAAGCTGCCAATCCCAGCAAAGCTGTGGTGAAGCTGTCATTGTGTGTCTTCCCTCCTCTCTGGGAAGGGTGAGTATTCTGAAGGCAAAATTACAAAAGAAAAGGGATCTGTGACTCTGCTTGTGCTCCTAAGTTGCACCTCTTTCTGCAGGGACATTGCTGACTTGATTTCAAAGCTCTGACTCCCATCCAAAGTTTGGTGTTCTTCTGCTGGAGTCATCAAAATCTGCTTCCCTCTAAAGCAAAGATGATGAAGCTGCAGCAATGGGAAAAGATGTTTACACCAAAGAGAAACCCCCAGGGTTTGAAAGTCAGTCATTCTTATGTGCCTCATTTTGTGTCTTTGTCACCCAATGCCTTGCATGTTTGGGGTTGGCAGGTTGAAAATGATGCATGCTACCCTGTGGGACCCCTCAAACTAGTGTTCCATGAAAATATGGAGACTTCATCTCCCCATCTGCAGCATCTCTCTCCTTTTATCGCATTTTAAGTATGTTCATGGGTGCAAAATCAGTGCAACCATACAGACTGCATCTGCTGTGGGAGGGCATTCTGGCTCTGTTTCACGCACTTGGGAATACTTTCTGAACTGAGTTGGACACTGCCTTGCATTGTACCTTGTGGTCTCTCGGGCAGCTTATGTTTGCATTCAGCCCTCCTGATAATGGTTATGCTGTCCTGTTACGGTGTTGCTCAGAGGACAGTTAAGGTGGCAGCCTGAAGGGAGGGCTGTCCTGTTTTATTATTATTGTCATCCATGGCTGTAAGATCCTCTGGGGTAGCGTTGGCAGTGGGGCAACCAGAACTGTTATCTGTGGCTCACGTATGGAGATCTGCTGCACTGGCCCCCTTGTCAATGGTCCTTACTCCCATAGTTGCCTTATTAATACTGAAAGTAATTTTAGTTTTCTTCTTCCATGGAGGTTATTACTTTTGGCCTAGCTGCTTATCAAGTTTTACTGAGTTTAGCTTTTTCTATTTGTTTTAGATAGCAGTTACATGGAGCTCTACTGAAATTCGCCTCTTAGGGCTAAGAGCAGTGAATTTGGAGGAGATGGAAGAAGGCCAAAAAAAAATATTTGTTACGGAGGGGGTGAGTTTCCTAATGATACCAGCCTGGTGAGCCTTCTTTCCCTTTTTCTTTAGCAGAGATGTTGCTGTGAAGGGGCTATGCAGCTTTGGTTCTAGCAGCCAAATCCACGGATCACCTTTGGACCATTGGCAGATCCATAAAGTTATCTGTGTATAGGCACTGTAAACAGATGTAATCAGTTGGAGTCAAGGCAGGAAAAGCTTTAGGGATATTGATTTGGTTTTTTTTTTTTTTTTAACCAAAATCTCTGTGTGGATCCAAGACCAAGACAAGGCAGCAGCATTTACTCTTTACTGGCAGTAAAGAGTTTTGACTATGGATAGTCTGCAATATCCCCACAAGAATAGAGGGTGAAGTTGGGTTTTTCTACAAAACAGTTGGATGTCTCATCTGGGGATGCTCTTTACAATGAATTAAGCCTCTGGATGATCCTAACTTGGTTGTAATTCTAAAACTGTAATTTCATGACACCCTCTAGTGACCAGGTTAAGAGTATTAAACAACAGTTTAAAAAAAATCGAGGAACATAAAATTTGGTTTTTTTCTGTTATCTCAGAGTATTGTTTCAGGGTGAAGTTTTTCCTCAGTACTTTAATTTACTAGAAAAATTGAAGTACATTTGTTAAACCCCTTTGGGCTGCAATTCATAGCCATTTGATCTTTTTCTTTACTCCAAATACTACTTCTGACCATGAATGCTTATATTGCTTAAAAAAATGCAAAACAAATATGAGCTTATTTTGATGGTGAAGTGTCTGGAACAAAAATATTATAGTTAGAATTTTTCCAAATATTTTATTTGATTAAACGCCATGGAGTTATGCAGGAACTGGAATGCAATATGAAGAGATGAGCTTTCCAGGTGTAGCAGGGAATTAATGTCACAACTTTGTAATTGAGTTTTTTGAATACAAACACAAATTTTGTGAAATCGGTAGCAATTTGCCAGAACTGTGATGACAGCATCTAATTTTATTATTACCCCAACTATTATTATTATTGTCAGAGTTAAGCTTTACCCATCTGCTTTCTTCTGTGCACACATTAAGAACAAGGGCCACTCTGGGACTTCACTGCAGAGTTCAGGCATAGCAAAGCAGTGTAGCTACATGCATCAGACATGAGGAAGAATCACTGCTGAGATGAGGCAGACACCTGGGATTAGTGATAGGCAGAGTCACTAAAATCCACCATGGTATTGATACCTCTTAAAAAGGAGCACCAACAATTGAAAAATTACGGAATACCATTATGTTGTTCTGAACATGGTTGTCCTGAAATTGAAGGTGGGCCTGAGATCTGGTTGGTTCTGGTCTCCACCTGGATGAGTTTCTTCCTCTCCCAGTTCTCCACCATGTTTTTTACCTGCTCCCCTCTTGGTGCCTTCAAAAGTAAATGCCCCACCACCCACCCAGTGTCACTTCCATAGCAGCTCAGCTCTGTGCTGCTTCCCAGCCATCTTCCTGACACCTTGTCGGTTTCCTAAGGAGGCTTTATGGTTTACAGTGCCCCTACGTTTCCCCTGTAGAGACAATGTCGTGTCACTCTTAGCTTCCAAATGCACAAGAAGGGGGACCCACATACTAGTTAAGATCAAAGAATGGTTTGGGTTAGAAGATCATCTAGTTCCAACCCCCTGCCATGGGCTGAGATGCCTTCCAATAGACCAGGTTTCTCAAAGACCTATCCAACCTAGTCTTGAACACTTCCAGGGCTGGGGCATCCACAACCTCTCTGGGCAACCTGTTCCAGTGCCTCATTTCCTTTTGAAAGCTGGAAGGTTGAAAGCTTTTTAGGGAGAAATATGAAGGAAACATCTTACCCATATGGGGATAAATATAATCATATATATCAGCAGAAAGCATCTGCAAATGAAAGAAGAGAAGGAAAGCTGAGTGTGATTAGCAGAAGTTTGCATAGCAAGCAAGAGGTGAAGGTGCAGATATATAGTTATTAAACTGTAACCCTGACACTATCTGTAGCACTACTAAAATCTATAATCTGTTAACAAGCCTTATGTTAAATTGCAAAGATAACTCTATGGCTGCATTTTGTTGTTTTCTGCACATTAGACATGGTGTTGATGTCAGATTTTCCCCTGGACTAGAAGGCTACAGGGGCATATTTGCCTTATACAATATGTTGAAAAGGCCTTTCTTAGCTTTTCAGATAAATTCTCTGTTGCTTTCCTCTTTGCTTGATCTTTGATATTTACCTGATTCTTTGAAATGTATCCAATTCTTCCTACCGGTAAACTACACAGAGAGTAACACAGACACACATTCCTATGGAGGGCCTTATGATATGCTGGGAATCTGATCTCCACTGTGCCAGCAGGGCAGAAAGATCTTGTGTTCTGGGCCTTGACCTGCAGCTCTGGAGATCTGCATTTAATTTTCAGCTCTGCCACATACTTCCCAAGTGACCTTGTGCAAGTCATTTATTCTCTCAGCATTTAATTATCACCCTTTTGCAGATGAGAAGTTGACACTTCTCTGCCTTCCAGAGAGTAATGTGAGGATAAATTCATCAACCTTCATGTTCTGCTGTGAACAATGGGAGTTCACTGAGGCAAAGCAAAGTCCAACGAGGAGATGAGGCAGCATAGGGAAACAAAGCAAGGATGAAGCCCATTTTAGCTAGTTAGAGAGCTATCCTGTATGAACAGAGTATATGATGTCTTGCAGGATTTTACATCAATCCTCTGAGTGTGCAGTGCTATGACCTCAGTATCCGAGCCTTCAGTATAGTGACAAACTGGAGGATGAGGAGGAACACGAGGTTCCTTGCTGTCTTTTAGTACGCAGTTATCAGATGGCTCATTCGCTGATGTCACTTTTCTTATGGAGCTCCTGCCTTTTCATTTCTGTAGCTGATCTGAGTCAAGCATGGAAAATGGTCATTTACTGAGATTATGGAATATGTGTTGCAAATAGGACAAAAAGGTGCAAAGCATAAAAATATTCTCTTGGAGAGCGAATGTTCTATGTCAGTCTGTGTTGTCATTGTGATTTATTGTCCTAGAACAGTTGAGCATTTCTACTCTCACTGCTAAAGGACTTCAGTTGTATGGGACATTTCCAGCATTCCCTAAGGAGATGGCTTTCATTTGTACAGGTGACAGTGGTGGATCTGGATCACATGAACACATATCTTGACCTAACTGCCACTTCTTTCTTTGTAGCTATTCCTGCAAGTAATTCAAACCTGTTACTTGGTTTTTTGCAGCTGTTGCTCTGTCAGTGTTCAGAAGGGTGGATTTCAAGAGCAGATGAGCATCCTTCTGCGTAGCTAGAGCATGAACTCAACCTTGGCATTTGGGATGCCAAGTTACATATGGCAGTTGATCTCTTTTCAGGTATGGATGAAGGCAATTACTTGCTCCCAGTATAGCAAAATACTGTCAGACAGCTCTGGTCTAATTTTTGTTTTGTTCTCCACAGCTTTTATTAAAGCTAAATGGAGCTGCAGGTTTTGAGCACTTTGGAATGTCATGTTACAAGATAGACCTCTCTTCTGTTAATGGAGGTTACTGACTGTGTGGATGGAAGACATTTGTAATAACTAGACTTCATTATTTTTATTATTTTTTCAGGTGCTGAAAAACTACCTTTCCCACTTGCTACTTAATATTAGATAAAAAAAAAAGTCTTAGTGAAGTATTTAACTTCAGAATGAAGTTCTATTGTTTTGAAGCTTCCAGGAAATACAGGTAGTCTGATTGGATGTGTGCATTTTGAGATCTTTTGGAAGCCTTCTGCTTGTGAATCTCAGGATTTAATAAGATGATATTGTGTCTTGGCTAGCAGGGTCCAAGACGCCAAATGAAAAAGGGCCTAGATTTTTGAATTTTCAAGTGGCTAACTATTCCAGTTTGAATAAGGTGTCTGTGTATCCTTAGGATGTGAGATCTAGTTGGGGGAAGCAAGTTTGTGTTTTGGGATTTTTTTCCCTTCTGTCCCAACAACATTTTAAAAATCTCATTCCCAGCATTTCTAATGTTAGGAAGCATTCCAGGAAAATCAAGCAGCCTGTGAGAAGTAGATACTGCCTTTGCTGCATCTTCACCCTAGCTTCTCTGGAGTAATGTTGTAGGGGTATAAAACATGTTTCCTGTTAGCAGGAAATGTGCTGTAAAGAATGAAGCCTAAGTAAATATACAATAAAGAGATGTATAAAAGTGTCTGTGAGAGACAATTCATGGCTCTGTTAGTATCACAAGGAGGTTTTTTTCTGGGTTTCTAAAGGCCCTTGCTGTAGTACAGGGAATGACTGTAATGCAAAACTTTAAACACCATGCTGAAAACAAACAGCCAGCACGTTCTCAGCCTTTTCAGCATCTGTTAAATAAGGAGTATAAAGAGGTGTGCTGTGGATATTAGGAGTTTGGCACACTCTTGATATTGCTGTCACTGGAAAAAGGTTATTTATAAAATGTGCTGTGGAGCAAATATGGAATTGCTGCTAATAGTGAAGCAGCCCTAGCAAAATGCGTTTGGAACTCACAGGAGGTATGAAAATGCAAGAAGACCTTTCATCAAAAGATTACAGAGTGGGAGATAAACAAAACCTTCCTCTTCCTGCAGTGTGTCACGTCATATGGGTGGGTACAGCTGATACTTAGGCACACGTAACAAAACTTGGCAACAGGAAGTGAAGTCACATGCTTAGCAGAACCTTCAAGGGCACACTCAGGAGATGGAATGTAATTACTCAGTTTGGATTTTAGCCATGATACTGAGTTAGCCCTCAGAGCAAGTATGATTTTATTTATCTCTCTTCCCCATCCTGAGAGTTCCTAAGATTAGAGGTAGGCACTGAGGACCCTGTATTTAATTTTCTTGATAAGCTTTTTCTATTACTTGCATTCTTGCCTTACAAACATGAACAAATTTAGTCTAATATCACCTCTGTGAGGCTGGGAAGTATTTTCCCATCTGCTTTTTCATGCCTAGGAGTGGTCCTTGCGAGAAGTACAAGATTGGGACGGTTTGGTTTGTTCCTTGCATTGGGGATTACAGTTCGAGTTGCTGTCCTTTTTCACAAGGAAAGGGTGTAAATATCCAGGTTAGGAAACAATTGGTAATTTAATGAGCCTCAAAAGACTTGGTAGAAAACAGGGCATTTCCCCTCACTGCTGTCCTTGCTCATGATGAGTGCAGAATGAGGGGCCAATCACTGTATATTTCATGAACAAAATATCAAGTTTGTTCTTGTATAGTGTATTGTATGTTAGGCAGCTGGCCTGTTCCCTCTTCCTTCTGGCTGACAGTAGGATTCTCTGATCAGGTAGGGTTTCCTGTTATGTGAGCTCTACCAGTGGAGTGCACATGGGAAGCCTGTGCTTCCTTTCACTCAAGTGTTCCTTTTGATGAAAGAGATGAGATATTGTGCTGGTGTTGGCTAGGGTAGAGTTAATTTTCTTTACAGTGGCTAGTATCTATGTTTTGGCTAGGGTCTATATTTTGGATTTTTGCTGGACACAGGGTTGATAATATAGAGATGTTTTTGTTATTGCTGAGCAGGACTTAAAGAGAACCAAGGCCTTTTCTGCTTTCCGTACTGCCATGCTGACATGGAAGTTGGGGTTGCATGGGAGGTCGGGAGGAGACACAGCTGGGACAGGTGACTCAAACTGACCAAAGGGATGGTCCATACTATGTGACATCATGCTCAGCATATAAAGTCGGAGGAAGGAGGAAGGGGCAAGACGTTTGGTGTGATAGTGTTTGTCTTCCCAAGTAATCATTACATATGATGGGGCCCTGCTCTTCTGGAGATGGCTAAACACCTGCCTACCCATGGGAAGCAGTGAATTAATTCTTTGTTTTGCTTTGCTTGTGTGTGGCTTTTGCTTTTCCTATTAAACTGTCTTTATCTCAATCCATGGGTTTTCTTACCCTTCCAGTTCTCTGCCTGATCCCATGGGTGGGAAAATGAGCAAGCAATTGCATGGGACTTGGCTGTTGGCTGGGGTGAAATCACAGCACATGTGTTTTGTCCCCATTTTTCAGGCAATTTCCTGAAGAACAGCTGCACAGTGCTCTGAGGCCTGCTGCTGGCCCAGGCCCCTGTTAGTATAGAAATATCTAGATAGCTGGTGACCCAGAATAAGAATATAAAGGCAGGTAAGCTGGGGGCAGCAAGATCCCTCTCTGTTCTCCCCTCCAAGTAATATTTTATTTATTTATTTATTTATTTTGCAATCCATAGTGTGCAGCTATTCCTCTTGCCTTTCCCTGCCGTAGGAATAGATGAGTGATGGACTGCTTTAAGTAAGGCCATGCTTCGGGGTGCAGAAAGCTGAGTTCAAAGTGCTCCACAGATGACGTTTGTACACAGAAGGATTTAGACCCGTGCAGGCACAGAACTGTGCTTGTGACTTAAGCATAAGAAGAGATGTCCATATGGTGAAGTCTGGCGAGATCACAGATCAATGTTAACCCGAGCCACCTCTCATCAGGGAGCGATCAGGCCAGTGAGTGACAGCAACAGGATCTAGAGTCATAGCTCAGGTTTGCGTGTTGAAATAATCCAAGGACACGCTGCAGTGATTGGCAGTGCAGCCACGCAGCCCAGCCCGCGTGTCACGTGGAGCAGGTTCCGTCCGTGGGGAGGGCACAGGTGAGAGCCCGCCTGTCCCGGTGCGGCCGCGGCGCGGGCAGCGCCCGGCGGGTTTCAGCACCGCGGAGAGCGGCACCGCGCCGCCGTCGGGGTTACCCGCCGTGGTTTTATAAAGTCTTCGTGTGCCAAGCGCTTGAAGAGGATTGTTTGAAGAGAATTGGAAAAAAAAAAATTCGAAGTTTTTATCACAGGAGCACTCAGAAAAATGTCAGGTTTAACAGTCAGTACTTGGGCAACACTTTTCATGCAAGGGTCTCCATGCACTTTGTGAATATTAATGAAGCTAGCTGCAAAATCAATCATGCCTTTATAATGTAGGTAGGTTGCATTATCCTTGTCTAGTTGAGGAAACTGAGGCAGACAAGGATAATGTATTTTGTCTCAGCCAGTATTGAACACAGGAAATAAAGACTATGACCTTTACGCTCTCACTAATACAAAACCATAAAACTTCTATAGCTTTTCCTGTTTTTGGCTTTAAGAGATGTACTTCCTTCTCTAAATTACAATTCTTCACTTAACTGATCTAGACTGGCAAGCTTATGGCAAAGGATTTTCCAGCTAGCCTAATTATAGCAATTCTCACCTGCTGCCCTTCTGTTTCTTGAGGATTGATGTTGTTTTTAAAAAGAAAGAGTCACTAGCCTTATTTCAAATGCACATCGGTACATGTGTTTGTTATTCCTGAAAATGTTAATTTGAAGCAAAAACTTACCCCTTTGATACTTAGAAATAGATAAATATATGTGCTATTTTGCACTCAATTGTCAGGCATGTCCCATGCTGTTTTGTTGTTTTCCTGGACAGGTGGAGACAGAGCAGTTAGGCACTGACGGCTTCTGTCTGGTGAGCTGGCTCTTGATTGACTGATTAGCTTCTTTGTATGGCAGGCGCTTCTCTCAGCTCCATCATTAAAGATGCATCATAACCCCTTACAAGAGCCTTTTTTTTTTTTTTTCCCCTGACACAGAGGGAGAGGGAAGGAGTAATTTTGAATGTTTTACAGTAGGGAAACTTTTGTTAATATGGAAGGTCTTTAGAGATGGGATGTAGCCAGACTTCTTGCTTTAAAGCTTTGAAAAAGAAAGCTAAAAAAAATGACAGTCTGGACAGTAACTCATCAATCCTCAAAAGATTTTTCAGGTATAGTATTCTATTATTTTTGTTTATAGAAATTATCTTTAGTATTAAATAGCTAACCTTTGTAAAATACATGGGAAGGAGTTGGAGAGGTGCATTTCATTTTACAATTGGAAAAAATGAGGTATGGAGAAGGAGACTCACAGACATGGTTGCAGGTGTCTGGACTGTCAAGTTACAGCTCTCAATCCTTTCAGTTTGACAGCAAACCATGGTTTCTTCCAGAGGTAGGAGGCAAGAGCCAGGAGATGACCCCAATTCTCTGTTAGTGCTGGTATCTGATGTAGCTTCTTTCCGTTTTGCTGGTGATAATGCTATCCCTTATCTAATATGTTTTCTGCCTGGAGAAGCGATACTGGTGTGTGTAACTGTGAACTTAAATTGATAGGATAGTATAACTTTGTTGTTTCTTTATAAGATAACTTTTCACAGGTCAGCTTGCATCACTTTGGAAGGAACTTAAACAAAGGAAAACCGAAAAAAGGCACCTTGTATTCTGCAGCAAGCATTTACATGGGGAATTGTAACTCTTGTTTAACAAGACTTCTGAAGTTACACTGATATGCCCAGTAAAGCTCTGTCTCAGACAAAACATAGAATAATTTACTTCTGATGCAGCACTTTCTGCATCGTTCTTGCAGATATTGTGATGAACTCAGAGATGACATGACCACTTCTGCAGTGATGATCAGCAATGTCACAAGCAGACTGAGCTTTAGTTCTCAGATTTTGGCTGGTAAAAAAGGACAAGATAATCAATGTCTTCTTTCTGCAGGCCAGTATCTTAACAGTCAGCTTTGGTTTGTAGCTGGATGGGGTGGGATGGAATCTTCTGTTGTTATGAATTTGCCTGTGCACGGGGTGACCATAAACATGCTGCGTATGATCACTGTGACTCCTTGCATGGAGTGAAGCACAGTGTGTTCAAGACACTGCAGTTCATCTGTGACACTTGTGTCTGGGTTATAGTAGTCCACTTGACATAACCCCTGGTGCCTCTTGCTGAGACAGTGATGGGCTAAGTAAAACTTTGTTAATTAGAACCTGTTGCAAACCTTATCTTTTATTAGGGTGGTAATATGAAATGTAGGGTCTGCTAACTATTTCTTTCTTCAGTTGAGTGATTAGTTCCTATAGGAGGATTCTGACTTCTCGATACAAGAGACTAATGCTGAGAGGCACTGCCTCATCATTTAACAAGGTACACCCACTGTTTTATTTCAGTTCAAATCCTGATCCTAGATCTGAAGATTAGAAAGCTTCAGTGCCTCTAATGCTGAGTATAGACATCCAAACAACATTTTGCCTGGTAGGAATCTTGTTAGAGAAATGTAACGCTCATTTTGTAGGAAGCCTGCATAAGGATTCACATACCTTTCTGCATGATGGAAATCAGGTCTATGCAGGCATTTACAAATCAACATAGGTATCATTGTTTGTATATGTGGTCTAAATCTAGGAGATTTGTACGTCTGTGAAGTTGCGTTTTAAAATCCTAGAAGAAGTCCTGTCCCTTCAAAGATGTACAGAGTTCTCTGTTGAGAGCTAGACATAGCATAGATCCATCCTGGGATGTAGCCTTATATCTGGTTTAGTAGAAGTGTGGAAAACTGAGAGAAAACAATAATTCGATGGAGCTTAACAATGGCTCCCATTTAATTATAAGCCTTGTTGACTGGCTTGTAAGAATGTTTTATTAAGTCATCTTCAGTCAGGGGAATACTGATGACAATGGACTGTTATTGAGCTGTATTTGTGGTGATGTGAGAGGTGCACTGTGGGATGGCTGTGAAGGCTACTCTATTTTTGGGATATAAAATTGCAGTGCAAGGAGGAATGGATGGCACCTTGCTGTGAAATAATATAATTCATACCTGTTTCTTTACAGTATTGCCCTTTGAATGGGCAGTGACATGGCAGCCTTATCTAAAGGCAGCTGCTCAGCCTTTGCTCACCCATGTTCAGTGAAGAATTTCAGCTGTTAGGAATTGTTTGAATGCAGCAGATCTAATTGTCTCTGAGTTGCATTGGTGGAGAGCCAGTCAGCTTGGGGAGGAAAGACAAACCTGTTAAGTGGAGATTTTGCTTGTTTACTGTGTATTTACATCTCCCCTTCAATCTTTTTTTTTTTGGTCCTAAAATTTAAATATTTGATGTCAGTTAATTTATTTTTATGAAAAATTAGGTTTTTTTCATTCCAGAAACAGAAAGCAATAGAGATACCAGCATCGTGGGGGCATCTGTTCTCTACTTGAATTAGTCCTTTCCCCCCCACTCATTTCCAGCCCATATGCAGAGGTGCATAACTCTGGGTTTTGTTTTTTTTTTTTTTAACTCTCTGTGTCATCCATTACAATGTACCTATCTGGGTGTTATGCCAAAGGCAGATCATCTATGAGGTCTTAAACACTGCTAAATGATAAATAAGTGCTGCTGATTCCCAAGGGTCAAAGTCTCTGGTCAGTGAGGTGTGCCCTCAGGGAAGATTGTTGCTTTTTCCTTAAAGTGCCAAACACCAACATGCAGATTAATCATGAATCTGTCACTTTGGAGGTGCAATATAGCAACCAACACTTTGTTTTCTCTCGTGAAATGCCATATCCCTCCCATGTGCTTTCCCCCCCCCCCCCTTAGTAAGAAGACTTGATGTCGTGCCACCTTCCAATGCCTTCACACAGCGTTATATCTCAAAGACTTCAAAAGGATCTAGGACTACTCACTTCCAGAACTGAGTCTCTTATTCTGGATGTGATGGATTGTGGCTATTCTAGAGGCCTTTATGCTTACTCCTATAAGTTCAGGGCTGACTTGTTTAATAGAATGAAGGAATGAATACACTGGGACCTGTATCAGTAGTCACAGCCAGTTTTGATAGGAGCTTTAGACTGATTTCAAGGAAAGGAAGAATGAAAAACCTGCAGCAGGAAAAGGAAGCATGAAAGTTGGACCATCAAACCATAACAGGATATCATGAGTTTAATTTGAGCAGAGAAGTGTATAGATGTAATGGCCCTCAGCTTATGTCAGTGGTGAAATTTATGGAGCTCTGAAAGGGCATCGGAAGGGGGAAGTAGTGAGTGTTGTATTGCATGGGAGAGTTTAAATGAGGTGACAATGGCACCAAAAAAATAGATCACGGGGAATAATTTTGTTCTGATTTTGAGGGTAATGGAAGAGCTATCACCTTAGCTGATCTTTCTCACCTGTAGCTCTCATGTGAATACAACACTTCAAAGTGCTGAGAATATACACCAATATCCATTGAAGTCTGTGATAACTAAAGGCATGGATCATTCTGCAGCTAGTGGTATTGTTTCTGTAGGTTTGAAGCATCCCTCTCTGTTCTCTGCCTCAAACACAGCTCACTCTTCTGCATGTTTCAGCACTCTACATGTTTTGCTTGCCTCACTCTCTGCTTCACAGCTGCTGCATTAAATCCATCTGTGGACACTTAAAAGATGCTGTGGAAATGTATTGCTTGCCTTCAGCAAATAGCGGTGGTTGGCCAACCGCATTGCTACCCTAGACCATCAGCCCCAGCACTGTGGTGCTTGTGTTTGCTGGACTGTTCCTTCTGAGTGTACGGAGGTGAACACATGTTCCGTATTAATCTTCATTTCAATGAAGTTGTTTTAGTTCATGCTTTATTGCAGCGCTTTGTAATAATGCGTCTGTAATGGCAGCCCTTGGGGCAGCAGTCGCATGTGGCAGGCTGAGTGCCTGAACTGCTCCTGAGAATGACTCCAATCATACAGAATGAGGCACTCCCTGATGCACCATCTGAATTTATAATACCAATTTATGTAGTGCCCTAAAGCAAGGTTTGTATTTGCTCTGGGACACAGGGGCCAGGCTATAGAAGGGGAACTGCTCTCCATTTTTTTTACTGTCCCTTTTTCGAATATATGCATTTGTCTAGCTTTCCAGCTTGCCTGTCTTAAAGCCTAGACTGAGCCCAAAAAATGCAAGAATATGCCTTGATACACAGTGATGGGTGCAGAATCTGTAACTGGACAAAGCAGGCCTGCTGCCAGTCTCACAGCATCGGTCAGAACCTTCCACTAGGTATGGAGGGCACAGCCCTGCAAACAGTGTAGGGCAGAGTCCAGGCTGCTAGTTCATTATGGACTTGCTTGTGTTGTTGGGATTCAGTATTGGCTTAACCTCCTTTGAGAAAAGACGTGATGAGCCCAAGACACTTAGGGTTCGGTTTTCAAAACTTGGTTAGGGTTCGATTTTCCTAGATAGGTACCCAGTACGATTTTCAGAAAGTATTTAAATAGAATGGATACCTAATGCTGACTAACTTTGAAAAAGAGGTATAAAATGCTGTAAAGGTCAAAAGCAGTGCTTTAGGCTTGCCCTGGAGATATGCTGTGCCTATCATTAAACAGAAGCTAAAAGGCTTTTGTCAAAAATAGTGTTTGCTAAGTGAAAAGAAGGTATGTTTTGCTCTTTTTTGCTCCCTGGAGAATTTTGCTGAAGCTACAAAATTCCCAGCCCCCACTACTTTATAGCAGCAGGAAGAGAATTTTCCCCCTTCACCCCAGTTTTATTGGAGCCCTATTTGGGGTTCCTCGTCTCACCTTAAATCTTCACATTATAGACTCATGCAAAACAAAGAAGTTTACTGTCATCTGATTATGAATGAGAAGTACATCCTCCCATGGATAGAACAGTGTTTGAAAGCACTGTGTTTGTCTGGCACATAAGCAGAGAAAATTGTGTTTATCCAAAATGGTGCATAAGGTTTTAGTGCAACTGGCTGCAGCAGTTCCTTATCCTGAGAGCTTCCCAACTGACTAGTTAGTTATAATAAGATACCTGCAAGCATCTTTCAGGAGAGCTCACGGGATAAAAGAAATTTTGCTGGGGAACCATGCTTCAGTGACTGTGGAGCAGATCCAAACTCAGTCATGAGATGGGTGCTGTAGTCAGTGTGAGGGGTCTGTTTTTTGAGAGAAAGAGGGGACACCCTGTCTTGCATTGATGCTGTTATTCTGCACTGACGTCCTTATTCCACCTGCTCTTGTTGGCTGGGGAGGGTTTCTGTCTTGTGTGAATAAGTGGCCAGCTGCAGGTAAGTGTTTGCTGTGAGAATGCTAGGGATTGATCCTGAAGATTGAGTGCAGTACCAGATAAAAACCTCCAAACTGTCTGTGTTTCTCGTGTTAGGAGTGTTATCTAGTGGATACAGCGGGAAACATCCCTATCTGGTATCACTGGTCTTGAGCAATCAAGCTTTCTGTATTTCAGGGTCACTGAAGGGGTCAAGAGCAAAATGGAAATACTGTTTAGTCTTACTTGAGGAGTTGTGAAACTCTTCAAGGAGTAGCTTCTGTAGATGCATTGGGTTAGGTTTATCTTTCACTCTTCCTCACTTAAATCCAGCTTTTCTGATTGCAGGTCTTTCCATGCTCTTCCTCTTTTAGTACTCCTCGATTCCTGTTCTTACCCAACGCTGTTGACGGACAAGCAGGTATGACATGATATTTGTTGCCAGGGAAGCACACTGTGATGTCATTGGTTAATTTTCATGGCTCCATCTGAGGAGTCAGAAACAAGGAGAGGAGACAGAGTTCAAGTGGAGGAGGTAGTAAGCAATAAAGATCTGCTAAGTGTTGGGGGGGGGGGGCGGGAGGCGACTGATGACATCTTGGAAACTGGAGTGATCCTGTGGAGTTATAAGACTCAAGAAACAAGAAGGGATGGAGTTCAAAACTGATGGAAATACTTGTTGGAAGGTTGTGCTTTAACTCCGAACTGTGGCTTTGGTTATGGCCATTTCACTGGGTGCTACCTGCTGCCTGAGGAAGTGGTTCTCTTCCTTTTCGGCCAGCGCTGAGTCAGGGTCACAGTGAACTTGTTGACAACAGGAGAAGGCAATGGATGTCTTTCTGTCTTAGAATGAGGTGGTGTCTAATATCTGGTGGTGGAGGTCATAAAGCCAATATGACAACCATTAAATTTTATATTGATGGCTGAAAGAATGTACAGCTTCTATTTTTAATTCCCTTGCACAATCAAGTGTGCATGCACATCTGTCTCATCTTTTATTGTTATGGTTACATATTCTTAAGTGTAAATACACATGTACAATGCATCCTCTCACAATGATGCTCTTAAAGATGGTGGAAAAGAGTGTTTGAGACTTGGAGAAGAGTTTGCATAATTTTTTCCCCCAAATAGGTTAGTTGATGTAATGAAATATGCTTCTTTTCCCTACATACCTTGCTCTGAATGTGCTCCTGCAGTGTTTGCACATACACCACTCTTACACACTCTTCCTACATAGACACTCCTGTATACACATGTCAAGTTTTTTTGGTGATGTGTTCATTCATACACTTCCACACACTCAAAGGTGTGTCTGTTTAGTTTCTGTTCCCTGTACACTCGGTTAAACAAAGTGGTGCTCAGAAAATTGCTTCCTGTATACACTGTGTAGAGTTTCTATTAAATAAATGTAACAGAACATGCTAGGAGGAAGAAAAGGCCTATGAAATCAAGAATAAATGGGTATGTCCTGCAAGTGGTCAGAATAACTTTGGAGGTTGAACTCCAGCTGGAGTGAAAAATGACGTTTGCAGGAGAAGAGCTTAGAACTAATTCTCTGAAATGATGGTAAAGGGACTTCTGACCGGGTGCTGTCATGATTACTTTTCCCCCATCTCTGTTATTTCTTATTATTGTGATGAGTTTTGCTCTCTCAAGTAGGATAAGGTCACCAGTGAGATAAGATCAGCTTCATTTGGCACAACCAAGAAGATCTGATCACAGTTTGGACTGCAGCTTCTAAATTCACCTTGGGTATTAACTTCTGAGCAAAAAGACACTGAAAGTGCTAACATGGCAAATATATATATATATATGTATATATATATTTATAAAAAATAGCCAGAGAGAGAAATTGCATTCTTACTGTGTTGCAAAGACTTCCCTACCACTGTTTCAATGGCAAATTCCCCTTGAGCCTCATTTCCATTAAACAGTACCATACAAATGCTTAATTTCAAGGATTTGGTGAATGCCTTTCAGAGAACCTAAGGAAAAAGACCAGGATATTATACTCTATGGGACACTGTTGCAGCCTCTCTTCCTATCTCTCTGCCATACTCAAGGCATTAGTTTTGATTGAATCTTCTAGATCTTGTGTTGCAGCATTTGGACATCCTGACATGATGGATAATGCCTCTAACTCCTGCCCATTCTGTCTCCAGGGTCTTTTCCAGCCTCTGATCCCCCTCTCTCATCACCCCTGCTTAACAGGAAAGGGATGGGGGGACACCAGGAACTTACGATAATAGTACATGCAGTTTCTACTGCATCAAGGAAATAGGTAGCTTCTGTGAGCCAGCTCGTTCTTCTAGCAAGATGTAAGCAAAAGCTATGTCTTGTAGCTACTACAGCTGCTGCCCTGAATTAACAAGCCCAGATCTCAGAGCAGATTAAGTACCTTGAATATGAGCAGGCCTAGGTAGCAATTTATTGAAAATTGCACTGACTGAATTGCCCCAGTTTATTGACAGCACTTTGTCTTTTAGTTATAACAAGCACATTGGCTTGGTAAAAAGTTTGGGAAATTTATTCTAAAGGGAATAAGCAAAAGAAGATGAATAACGTTTCTATGACTCTCTGTATTCTTGCCTTTGCCTCTTCTGTCTGGTGGTGTTGGGAGGGAGTGGCCAGGTGCCCAGGTCTATAAATCTACCACTGCTAATTTTTAAGGTCCCTTGGAAAGGGAGTGTCTATTTTCTTAATGAAGACACCAAAAAAGTCTGATGTATCTACTTATCATCTTATAGATGGGGACAAAACACTTTACGTAGAGCATACATTTTAAAAAGTCAGGATTCCAGTGGCAAATACTGGGGAGGGGAGCAGTATTAGAGGGGGCTGGTACAAACCTTACCATGGTAATCATATTTTTCCTTGCTCTCCATACATCTTATTTGCAAACTGCATGTTCAGAGCTAGAGATGTGAAGGAAAGAATTAGAGGAATTACTCAGAAAAATCCACTCCCCTATTGAGCAATTAGAGCACTGCTTGCTCGACAGAGAACTTCTTGTACTGCACGGCTTTCCTCTTGTCTCTGTTTTGCTCCACACCCCAGCAAAGATATGCCTTGCAACCTAAAAGAAACTTCATTGCTCTTCTAATATTTTCTCACTACTCTCTGCCTATTTATAAAATGATGTCTGCTATTTTGGTGCCTAACGGTAACAATTTTTCAGAAGTAGCGGTCTATGCGTCTGAGTTAGGCACAGTAAGATTTTTTCAAAGTAGTTGTTATCTTCATATATATGTGTTCATATATAGCACTCTGAATAGAAGCTTCTCAGTTAGATGAAGTCTTCTACCCCTCTTTCTGATTTGTAGACATTTCATATATGGGGGTCCTAGGTTTTTCTTTCTCCTGTTGAAAGGATTGTGTGTGGATGAAAACCAGCCCATTTTCCCCAAATCTTGTTGGGCTCACTTTACCCTTGGTGATTAAGCTGGGTAAAAGGTGCTAGTTTGTTTTTTCTCTCAGGGGACATGCAGTTTTCTGTCTATTAAACCGAAGAGGTTTAGTTTGGAATTGGAAGTGGAGACTGTTCTCGTCATTGATTTTACACAGAAGATACTCTGTTGATAGGCAGCCAGATCAAAATATGATGCAAGTATGTGCGCGCGTGGTCTTAGAAGATCTTGGAGAAGGAAGGGCCAGAGAGGGTGCAGTTTCAGATGACTACCTCATCAAATCATTACTTTGATAAACTGCAAGCTACAAAATGCTAGATTGCCAGAACTATCAAGCAAGGGAAGAAAGGTACTAGAAGACAGATTTTATTGCCAGTTGCACTTTTTAAATCTGGATTTAACTATTGCAGTAAATTAAGTAATACCTGATTTTCTTCACAGTAATTGAGACCAGGATCTAATCCCATGCCCCGAGGAGGGATAGATAGTTCTTACTGCTGCTATGTTGTCCATATAAAACAGGAAGTTTAACAATAACCTGCCTTTGCACAAACATCTAAGGGGATAAAATCTTGATCTTGGTATGCTGATTTTGAGTCAGGAAGATGGCCCATTGTCACCTTGTTGAAATAGGTCTCCATTATCCTCTCTGTGCATGTATCTGAATTAGTTAGGGCATGTGAAGGACTGCGTTTTCCAGAGAAACTTCCCAGTGGGCTCCTAATACTTCTTGTAACTATTATTTAGTGTTTTTGTGTACCTATTATCCACCTCAGACACAGCTGCATTTCAATAGTCAGCAAGGTGATCAATACATACGGTGTTAAATAATAATTATTTATTATTTATCGAGTACTGTGGGTAGGCTGTCTGCTATGCAAAATGTAGAAAAAGGCAAAAACCTTTGGATACATGATCAGAAGCAGAAGGAAAGACAAATAACTTTCCGGTCTGTCCCCAAGGCAAATGCATTTCTAAGTGTCTGGTGTTGCGGTATGAACAGCATACACAAATTTTACAAGATCATAGGGTCTAGGGTCTAGAGAGAGGGGCCAGAAGGTTTGATTTCTCACTTTTAGTTTTGTGTGAACTTCATGTGCATAATGTTCCTGCCTGCTAGTCTTCTCTGAGGTGGACTTTCAGCATGATAACCCATTAAAAAACTTGACATGCATGTTCCCCACATATGTTTACTGTGCTAAGTGCTAATGCTGATACAATGATAAATAACAATTTCTAGGATGTCCACTCTGAATGAAATACCGACCCAAACACAGTCGGTAGTGTCTGTCAGTGCTGTTATCTCTACTTTTACAAATGAGCAAATGGGTGGATAAAAAAGTTTGAAAGATTTGTGCAAGGTAACAAGAAACGTAGTGGCTGGCTTAAATGAAATGGTCAGTGTAAAAACTGACTTGAAATACCCAGTAGGTTTGGGTTAAACTCTGAGCTAGAAGGGAAAAATCTTTGGGAACTTAAAGATTTTTTTGGGAGATGCATCGTCTGAGGAAGACGTTACCTCCTCCTGCTCTGATGGCAGGTCCCTGGTGGCAAACTTAAGAAGGAAAAAATAAACTGCATCTTCCTCCTTCGCCTTGCTGGGACCAGAGGGGCATAAATCCCCCCTTGCTGTGCCGGCCCGCTAAGGGAGCGCTCGGGGAACGGGACGCTGCCGGGCCGACGGCAGCAGAAAACCGCCGGCCTCTTTGCTGGGCGGAGGCGGCGGGAGCGTGGGAGGTGAAGCCCGGCGGAGCGCTGCTGCCCGTGCCCGGGGCCGTGCCCGCTGCCGGGGCCGTGCGGACCGTGCCGGAGGCCGGGGCGCGGACCCGCGGTCTCTTTAAAAGCCGTGGCTGGGCGGGCGGGCGCGGCGCAGGGGGCGGCGGCGGCGGCGTGCGCGGGGCTCGGGCTGCTCCGGCACCGCGGCGCGCTCAGCCCTGCGCAGCTCCGCCCGCGGCTCTCACGGCTCGGCTCGGCACGGCCAGCCCAGCCCAGCCTAGCCTCGCCAGGACCCCCGCAGCCTCCGCGGCTGGGGCCACGCTGGAGCCCCCTGCCCCGCAGCGCAGGCGAGCCGCGAGTTGGCGCGGCGGCCGGCGCCCGCCCGGCTGCGGAGGTGAGAGGGGGCGGCGGGCGGGGGGCGGCTCGGCTTGGCACGGCTCGGCACGGCTCGGCACGGCTCGGCGGGAGCTGCCCGCCCGGCGAGCGCTGGGCGCCGCCGCTCCGGAGCTCCGCGGGTGGGTTTCTCTGACCCTCCTCACGGCAACTGTTTGGGATCGTTTTCTCTCGCTCCCCGCTCCCGCTGCCCCGGCGGCGCTGGGCGCTGCCCGCCCGGGCGGAGTGGGCACGCGCCGAGCCCCCGGGACGCTCCAGCTCCTTTGGCCCGACTTTTTGGGAAATTGCAGTTTCCACGGCGGGGCTTTTTGGAGTGGAAAACTGGGCGGGGGGGGCTCTCGAAAAAGAAGACACTACGCTGAGCTACAGCAGGGAGACCCTTAGAGTGAGCCTGCTGTTTGACTAAAGCTTAAGGATTTGTTAAAAAAAAATGCTAACGAGGAAAGAAGACAGGCTGAAGATGAAAGTTTTTTTCTTTAATATTTTTTTCCTCTTCCAAGTCTTCGGATCTATTACGGTAGTGCCTTTCCTCCCCGCCTTCCATTTGTTTGTATTAATGATTTAGTAGCCGTCTTGCCTGAAAACTTCCACCGTGAGTGACTGCTGTGGGTTTTCAGGCAGTCAGTGACCTTAAAGGTTGGTTCAATGCTTTCTTCGTGCAAAATGTATGTGAAATAACCGCTGTGTTGGGCTTTTTTTCTTTTTTCTTTTTTTTTTTTACCAAAAAGAACCCAAACAAAACCACCATAAAATCCACCGGCTTTCTAATTTAAAAGAAAACATCATTCAGTCAGGGAGTGATGTAATTCTCCTACCTAAGGGCAGCGACTCTGGTGCTTTGCAGGTGACTTGTCTTTTGCCTACTCTTAAATTTATTTTGATGGCAATCTTTATGTAGCCAGGAAGAAACATATTTAACAATGCTCTTTAAGAATGCATTTTGCTAAAATTGAGCACTTTCTATTTCAATTTTTTTTCCTTATTTCTCTCCCCCACCCCAAAAGAAAACAATAAAAATGATTAGGCATGAGATCAGCGGCAGAAAAACCAAAGAATTGGGGAGGCAGAACTGGGGATAGAAACATTAAATCGTTTGTAAAAGGATACTTGCAGCTTTTTGTTTTTTCAAGCTCTTTTCCCACCTTTTTGTGGTCAAACTGTTCAACGCTTTGTTGCAAATAGTTTTCACAAATTATTTCTGTTTTTACTAAATATTATTTGTCCCTCCTGTATTTTTTACTGCCCGCAATTGTTCTGAGATAAGCACACAGCCCTCCTAAAAAGGTGAATATTGAAATGACCGCTCACCAATACCTGCTTATTGCATATTTTGAGGGGCTATTTTTTGAGGGGGTGAACTCTTAACTAGATTGGTGAAAAGTCTAAGAGAGATGTTGAGTAGGTGGGAGAAAATTTGATCACAAAAGATTCTCCTTGCTGTGATTATACAGTCAGTTATTAATTGTAACGTTAACCAGAAGGGTGTTACGTCTGTCACTGGTTTCAGTTAAAATGGTCATCAGCGTTAAGTTGGGCAAGTTTATCTAAGGGTTGGTAGTATTTTTGTGGGGAGGAGGTTGCAGAGATTGTTGCTCACGGTTTTGCGACTGAACGCACTTTATCAGCTGAACGAACTAGATTATTGTATAGACATAATTTTCCATTTCTCTATTGGTTTCTTTTTGGTATTTGACACTTTTTTAAATGTTCATGACTCTCTAACTAAGTATCTGGTTTTTGGGAGTAGGGAGGTGCAGCTAGGGACACTGGAAGTTAGGGGATAATGTGAGCAACAGGACTGTATTTCTTTATTAAAAAAAAGAAAAACAAACGCAGAGTTAGGAGGTGAGGATTCTCTTTCTGGAGCATTCGGGCACCTTCTGGTGGGGTATGTCTCTAGGCTTTTAATTATTTATTTCACTTTTGTCCTTTAAAAAATGAAGTAGAGCGAAACCAAAATGAAACGAAGTAAAATTAGACTAAGCGTTGAAAAATAAATAAATAAAGTAAGGGAACTGCTGGAAGCCCAATACTTGATTTCACCAACCTGGTGGTGATGGCTTCTCGATAGAAGCGATATCTGCCGATATCACCCCTGTTCCATGGCTGTAGCCTGGCCTCATTTTACGCTGCGTTTCCACTGAACATGTTGACGTGCTGCTGCTTATATAAGGAGAAGAACAAATTCAAGCAGATTAGTGCTTGGGATTTTGAGATCGGCTACCCAGATCGTGTTGTGCGTTTTTTTCCTTTCCTTGGGGGAGCTGATGGGGAAAGCTGGAGAATGACAGGAGAGGATGAAATCGGAATGTGTGGTTGGGAGAAGATGGGGGTGATGCGGGGAGCAGCTTATTCGCATAATGTCTGCGCTGCGTCCCTTTTTCTTTTCTTTTTATAAAACCCATTATCTCTAAAAACACATTATTCTTCAGCCCGGTCTAAAAAAAAAAATAGTGGGAGGGGTTATCATAGCGAGGGGGTTTGGTATGGGAGTCATTAGACCCACTGCTGCAAAACCAAGATACAGAAATCCATCTGCACCAACATTTCGGGGGGAGGGAGGGCGTAGAGGGGGGGGAAGGGATGGATTGTCTATCTTGGATTAGCGAAGTGGAGCTTTGTATTCTTCATTTTCCTCCCCATTTTCTGCTATTTTCCCCCATCCCCCCCCATCCGCACACCCGCTTTCCTCCTCCCAGCCCCCACACCCCCGAAGGTTTCTCATCCCTTGACGAGAAAATTCTGTGTTACATCCTGATGGCTCTGCGGCTTTTTTTTTAGTGCATCACAACAGTGGCACGATGACCTTTGCTTCATGCCACACAGATTTGGGTTCCCGATAGGACTGTGACCGCAGCTTGGGCACACTCATGCACCCATGGTCATGTACCATGGATAGCCTGTGATTTAATTCTGATTTTTTGCATGTATGGCTTTGTGTATGCGTGTGGCTGATAAAAATTGGCAGAGGGTAAGGAACGCAGTAAATGCCAAAGGCACGTCCATCCATTTCGCCAGCCTCTCTCGCCGTTCTCTTGCCGTTCCCTTTTCCTGGTCATTGTGTCACACATCATGAGATTTTGTGCTGGGGAGGGATGTGCCCTATGTGGATGGTAGGGGCCTGGGGGTTGAAGGGAGTGTATATGTACTGGGGAGGGAGGAATCGTGGGGGGGGGAAATGGATCTGACGATGCTAATAACATTATTTTGGTCAAATGAATGTCTGGTGATAATGATTCAGTGTAACCATCCGTGAAATACATGCTTGCGACACACTGGAATAAAGGTTACTCCAGGGAGCTCCATCAGAGCCAGGCATGCTCGGGGGAGTGAGCTGTCCCCTTGATGGGGGAAACAAAATTCATAAGCATCCCAGATCCCTTCCCTTTCCAACGCCTCCTTGCATGTCCGAGCTGGAGGGCACTGCGATCGAAAGAGGGGGTGGGCTGCACTGGAGCCAGGACGAAACAAAGCCTTCCCGCTTCATCCTCCTGTGCCATCCTCTCTTGCCCTCTTTGAGCTTAACTGTGCTGTTGATCCAGACGATACAGGAATATCGCCATTTCCATGCAGTCCCTGCCGGAGCCTGGAGGGTGGTGGATTGAGAGGCGGGGAAAAGCTCCTTGTGTTTCTGTTGTAGGATGTGCAGGAGAGCCATGGCTTTTCGTGTCTCAGTAGAGCAGGGAAAAGGCTGGGGTGGGGGAGCAAAGGGAGGTAGGAGTCTCTTATTGTATCCATTCTTCCTTCCTTCTTTCCGCACACTAGAACATGGGGAAGGGCCTGACAAGCCACAGCGAGTGGCTGCAGGTGGCCGGTGCGCAGGGATGAGGGAGCTGAGGCAGTGAGAGCGGGAGGCTTTTCTCTGCATTTCAGGAAGTCCAGGACCCTCTCCAAGGCTCAGAGACCTGCTCAGCACCTTCCTCCTCTGGCTGTGAAGGACCTTCTTGTTTGGTCACGGGCTGCTCGCACCCAGGCAGAGGGGAGCTGTGGGAGGAAGGTGCTCCTGTGGTTCTGCCAGCTGCGACTTCTTATCTCCTCTGTGTGGCTGTGCCTGCTCTGAGGTCTCTGTGTTTCTGGATCTTTCCATGTCAAGAAGCAGTAGCAAAAGTTGAATAAATAGATCTGTCCAGACCTATTGTTGTTTGCCTTTTGCTTTTCTCCTTTCTTTCTGACCTTGAGGTACAATGGTAAACTACAGCCAGGAAGATGGGGGCAGGGGTGTGTCCAGTGCCCCACATAGTTGGTGTAGGTGATGTCTGGAGAGAGTCCCCTGCTCCCCTGGTTTATGCTCACCAAAGCCAATCTTGCCTCAGGTGCCCAGCTTTACCAGTAGTTACTTTTTGATCTCTTCCTGCCCTCCCTTTTACCCCAGTCACTTTGGAAATTATTGTTATGCTGCAGCTGCAGTGCTTGTAGGAATCATAGCGTCATAGAATAACCTGAATTGGAAGTCCAACTCCTGTCCTGCACAGGATGGCCCCAAGAATCACACCACATGGCTGAGGGCATTGTCCAAGTACTTCTTGAACTCTGGCAGCCTTGGTGCTGTGTCTGCTTCTCTGAGAAGCCTGTTCCAGTGCCCAACCACTGTTTCCTAATATCCAGCCTAAACCTCCCGACACAACTTCATGCCATTTCCTCCGGTCCTATCACTTGTCACCACAGAGAAGAGATCAGTGCCTGCCCCTCCTCTTCCTCTCACGTGGAAGTTGTAACTGCATGAGGTCTCCCCTCAATCTCCTCTTCTCCAGGCTAAACAGACCAAATGCCCTCAGCTGCTCCTCATAAGGCTTCCCCTCTCGACCCTTCACCATCACTGTAAGCCTCCTTTGGATGCTCTCTTATAGCTTTGTATCTTTCTTATACTGGATTCTTATGTGGCTGCTCTCAAACATGGTGGCCAGCTGAGCAACAGGCAGAGTGTGTTTGCAGGGCCTGCATGCCTGCTCCCTGCCTTTGGAGGCTGCCTCCCTGGTATTCTGCAGGGCAAAGGTGGGCCCTAGTTTTATAGTTCCTCCTCTTCCCCGGTGATTAAAGTACTGGTGTGTTCTTGTGGCACAGTGAGCCCGCTTTTATGAATTATTTGTTAGCAGGAATAGGAAAAGTTGGAAAAAGCATTATTGTAGGTACACTTCAATGATTATCATGTGAGTTTTGTAGCTCGTCATGTCTGTTGTGCTTCCTTGAGCTTTCACAGCCAATGGAGAAAAGGGAACATAGTGCTGGAACTTACTCCTGCCCCTGAATGTTTTGTATCGTTGAAGTGAGAGGGGAACGCAGTTCCTCCAGAGCATTCAGAGAATGAGGGGTGGGGCCAGGGGTAATTTGTGGTAGCAATAATAGTGGATTTTAAGTCCCTGTGCAAAAAGGAAATAATTATGCCTCTTCCCTCCCTTTCTTTCTTCCCTTTCTAAGCAAGTTACCAAGCCATCATGTGCAGGCAACTCTTACTGTTTTTGTATTAGAATTGTATTTAAACCCTCAACCTAGGTAACACCTTCAGACTGCACATGATGGTTGAGCTCTTGTCTGGCTTATTCCTGGAAAGGGAGAGTTTAGTTCCCTGTTTGTTTTAGCAGCAGTGGTATTTCAGTGGACCTACTGAACTTTTTTGTTTTCTGCAACCTCCTCTGGGG